TTCCTCTTAACAGTTGTTAATTTCGTAATGAATTTTTAACTTCTGTACTGCAGACATCTTCAATCAGGTTGTTTTACATCAATATCCTTTAAAATGTGACATGGTGTTCTAAATTTTGTAATTTCTGCTAACTTTTTATGTGTAGTTTCAGCTTAAGCTTCAGTTTTCATTTTAGGCATGGTCTGTTGTGTGTTTTTTTCTCCAATTTGAAAGCATACAGTATGACTAATGAAAATTTGTTGAAAGAATAAAATAATAACGTCGAAAAACATTGGAAGTGTTGTTGTTTTTCGTATTATCAGATGTTCTAAATTTCAATTGAATTTTAATAATTTTAATTTGCTGTTGCAAAATTTTTCAAATTTGCAGTGTGATATAGTTTATTTTTAGTACAGAACTTACGTCAATGGAACTACTAAGTTTCTCTTATCTAGGGTATTCATGGAGTTGTCATGGTTGTTGCACGTGTTTTCCTTTAGAAGAAGACTATTGTAGTACGAACATGTTATAAACAGAAGAAGCAATCTGTTCTACCTTCTACTTTGAGGCATTTCCCAATTTTTGTTAATATGAGATTGGCCCCAAGTCACGTGGATAATTCATGTACCTGGGAAGGGAGAACCTTGTATATAATGTAATATTTTTCTTTGTTTCATAAGGAATTTTAAGAGATAAGCAAAAACAGAGGCATGCGAAGCATTCTTGTTTGAGAAGCACATATACATTCTATGTTTGCTGGAATTGGGAGAGATTTGTTAAACACATAGACTTATATCATGACTTATACTCTAGCTTAATAGAACTAGAATAGTTAGCTTAAACAAAGACCTCTCTCTCTCCGAGTAGACACACAAGCAACTGCATAAGTGCGACACTAAGTTTGGTTGTATTTGTTTCAATATAGATTGTGACTCTTTGCAAACCTATCTCCAGTCTCTTTCTTTCGTGCAAAAACTCATTCAACGGAAGAGAGAACATGACCTTGATCTCTAATGCAATATCTGATGAACTCTTCTGTTTTTGTAGTTCTGCAGGCTACTTTGAGGGAAATCTAAGAATATCATAATTATATTAAAATATTAATTTTCAAATACATGCATTTCGATTGGCAATGTGTGATTTATTTGTCTTTATTAAACATGGAAACAAAAATCATAAAAGATACACCAAGAATAAAAAAAAATCACGAAACTTAGAATTTGGGTTTCTTTTTTTTCAGGATTATCGACGCATATAGGCATCCCTAATTTTTAACTGTTAGACTAGGAGAAAGTGAACTAGTAAACAACACCCACCGCCAACTTTTGAGCTACCGTTGATTCAGGATAAGATTCGACCATTAGTCTTACGGCTTCAAAATGCGGACTACACATTTTTTTTGTCAACTGGTCGCTAACCATGAGTCCCAAGATCCACAGTGCTAGCACGTTAAATGGATATATCTAAGACTCAAAAGTTCAAGAAGAGCCATCTTTGATTTAAAGCTGCTGACAGAATGAGAGCAATCAGTCAGTATTACCAGCCACCTACATCACTACTCGAAAAACGAGTTTGACTGTAAATCGCGTTTAATGCCATACCACTCCTCAATTTGTTTGTTCGTTTGTTGTTTATCATAAAGCTACACAATGAGATGTTTGTGTTCTACCCGCCACTAATATCGAAACCCAATTTTTAGCGTTATATGCTTTCAGGGTTACTGCTGAGCTATTGGGTGACTCATTGTAGGACTCCTGTTCCTTTTGATTCGCAGCATGGCACATTAACCATTAAGACGCGTCCAAAGTTGTAGGAGGTGTTTCTTGAAAAAGACTATTTGTTTGTGTTATCAGTGAAAAATCATCAAGGACGAATGAATTGCAGTGTTGTTCAAAGTACAATGTGGAAACATTAAGAAAACTAATTCAAAATGTTGAGAGTTAGAAATTTTGACTTGATTGAGTTTGCATTTTTATTTGTTATATATGTGAAACGAATTTGGTGTAAAAATATTATTTTTCTTTCTATTATAACTTTCTTACTTTAATTATCAGGTTATTTAATATGTAGCCCCTCCCACCGGTGGTTCTACGGTAAATGTGAAGGCTTATAACGCTAAAGCCAGGGTTTTGATACCCACATTGGGCAGAGCACAGATAGCCTATTTTGTAGATTTGCACTTAACAAAATTAAAACAAAGTTAATATGTATCGTTCAGAAAACAATACCAAGAAAACGATAAATTGTTGTTTAGAATGCTTAACCAATATGAAGGCAAAAATAAATAGATGACATTTCTAATAAAAACTTTGTTGGTTCTGGTACTTTAGTTATTGTTAATCTTATAAATTGCACTTCATATCAGTTAACTTTTGCTTTTTGTTTATATTTACAAAAATAACAATAACAACAAAAGTAAATGTATAAATGATAATAAAACATCTTTCACCTTTAGTGGGTTTTATCGAGAATGCAGATCCTGTGCGCTCACATTCGTACCCAATCATACGGTGAGTGTTAGTGACGTCATTAAAGATAAATGGGAAACGTTCTTAAGATTTTTTGCTGTTTTTATACGGTGGAAGAAGTACATACGTATTTCATGTGTTTTATTAACTACTGTGTTTTACAGTTTAAATATTTTTTTGATATTTTATTTTTCTATTAATCATTAATATTTTTGTAAACAATTTTCTGTTTGAAAAAAATCGGGCATATCACTCGTATCTTTCCGGAAATGTACGAAAATGAAACCTTACAACCAGTTTCAACCGGTCGCAATGAGACATTCACTAAAATTGTACTTTAGAGCAAAATACACTCACAGGTTTACTAGTACGGTTTGTAATAGTATTTGAAACAAAGATACGTTGAAAAACAGATTAATATTTGTAAAGGTGAGTTTATTTGGCTGTAGTTTTTGATATAAGCTATTCAACCTTTTGAAATGGGCGCCGCCATTTTTGTTTTCTTTACGAATGAGTCGTGGATTTATGGCGGGTAAGATAGAATTAGAACAGTAGGCCATGTAATATTTTCGTACAGTAAATATTTTTCTTTGACTTTCCTTTTACTCGTACTCATTTTTACTCATTACTAATATTAGTGTTAGGCTACTATTTTGTATTGGGTTTAACTATAATGTATCAAGGTAAAATGTTTCATGTAAACATCATGATAATATAATACTAATAGTAATAATTAATACTATTAGTATTACTAATGTTGAACGTTTCAAAATATACAGTTACAAATTACTTCAACAGACATCACGTCTGTGATTTCTTTTGCTCCTGTTGTTAGTAACATTTCAAAAACTACAAAGTAAAATTACCACGTAATGATTTTATTGTGTGAAAATGAAACATTATTTTGAACGATCAAAGATAATTATTTATTCAACTCATTTTGTTTTTTTTTCGATATTGATTCGTTAATATTTGATGAGATGTAAGAAATAATTATTGTAAATGCATGAATCTATGTTTTCACACTAAAATACAATCTCTTAACTGATTTATTAATTTTTACAGTAGCTGTATCATGTATTACTGTTAGTGTTATTGAGATCTTGAAGAACCAGTCATGGTTGGTAACTACTACTAGTACTAATAGTAATTCTGACGTTATTATATTGTTGTCTCTGAAATGTTATATATCAGAGTTTTGGCTTTTATGTACCACATGCATAGAACTATACTAACCCGAAACACTTAATACCACATCTTTATGTATTAAAGTTTAAAGAACAATACTGAAAGTCTGTTGAGGTGCCATAAAAAGTGTAAAGTGTTTGAATGTTAAATTAAAAAAACCAACTTCAACACTTACCATGGCATAACCTTAACTTATGAGGCTGCACATAATTACTTTATAATGATGTTGCTCTGGCATAAAAGTTTGAGGTTAGTTGTATGCTTGGCTGAAAAGAAAACATCGAATTATGACAGTCTAGTATGAATGACCATTTAGCAATAGCTAGGGTTAATCTTGGGATATATAATTTGAAAACTAAATAAATAGATGATATTATATTATTTGTGATACTTGAACAGTTCTGAGTTATTTGTGTAAATAGAAAGGTTTGATATTAAAATATTTTGCTCAAACTATTTGACTTGACACATTATTATGGAGAATTCTTAAGATCTGTACCATAATAGGCAGTAGATATTTGGTGCAGTAGTAGTTCATTAGAAAAAAAGACATTTGCTCAAATTATCACTCCATTGGTGTACTGCATTTTTATCAGTGTCTACAAAGGTATGTTTGATGTACTTAAACAGAAGTTATTTATAATATTAATGAAATTTGCGATAGAAAAAGACTTGTTTAACTTTAAGCACAAAGCTGCACAATGGACTATCATTATCAATGCTGTGCGAACTACATGGATTAAATCTCAAATTTTAGTTGTAAGACTTAGCTTTTTGCTTAGTCACTAGAGAGTGTGGTAGAGAAAGTATAAAGATTTTTGTATGACACATGCATGTAGTACTAATAAGAAATATTGTACCATATTTCAAGAAAACTTTGCTCATCTGTAACACATTAAATGTTAAAAAAATGTATTAACTAGTAATAGATTAGCTTTAGCGTTTTGATAATGGAGCCTGTATGCTTCAAGTAATGTATTCTGAACTGTTTTTATTTTAAAAACTAATATGGATTAATGTGATATTGACAGATTTTTATATAAAGTATTTAGATTCTTGTTAAAATTTTATTTTGGCAAAGATGATAATTCAGTATTTGTGGGCATTATAAATTATAAATGTAATGCTTAGTATTTAAATGACAACTTAAAGTATTGTTAAAAAAATTTAATACATAGTTAAAAATAGCTATTATAACATTATATATTTGGTTCTAGAGAAGTGATTAATTCATCAATTAAATATTACTACTTGTAGACTATAGTTATGGGGAAATGGTGAACTATATGTCAGAAGTATGCATACATGTCCTTAAACAAAAGTTTGTGCCCATGTTTAACATTGTAATGATTCAGAAATGAAAAATGGAGGTACAGAGATATTTAAAACAGAACTTCGAATATGTTAACACTTTTAATTTCAAAACTTTTAAATTTTTGAACAAGAACCTTGTATATTTTATTTAAATTACATCATGCTTGCGGGTGTTTAAATTTATTTTTCAAGAACTTAAATTAATTGTCTTAACTCTTTTAAAATTCAGGTGTATGTTGGAAGATTCTACATTTCACCCTGAATGTCATTTGCAAGAGTGGATGGGATGAGGCAGCCTGTAGCATTGTTCACTGGTCAGGGTAAAATATCAGACTACTAAATTTCTAAATGCATTTTTGTATGGATGTTTTTCATCACTTGATATTATATAGGATTTATAGAAAAGAAATTGCTATGACAGTAAAATGTTTTGGTTTACATAATTTGTGGTAAGATAATCGTTATGATTTAATATTGTGTTCTGCAGAAGAAATATTTGAAAAGTACTTATTTAATAGTTGTATAACATTTTTACTAAATTTATGGCGTTATAAAAGTTTATTATTTTGATAAAGACATCTGTTGATGTATGAACTTGATAAAGTGATTGACATTTAGTAAAGGGCCAAACAAAAGAAAGGAATAAATTTTTCTTATTTAATTTTGTTTTAAAACGGTAGTTACATACGTGTTATAAAATGCACAATTTCTTAATTGGACTTGATGCAGATCTGTGTCAGCAGCTTGAAACATCATCCAAGCAACTTCTAAGGTAGATATAGTCCAGAGATGTCTCCAGCAAAGTGTAGTCTTCTCTGCCTAAACCTTTTTTGAAGATGTATAGCTTTAATGAAGTGTTTAACTGCTTTTGATCCTCATTTGAAAAACTATAAATATGTGCTACTATAAACCTAAACTGCCAGTGTTGCCAGCTTCTTGTGATTTTGAAAACTTTTATAATAGAAAATCTAATTCAAATTCATCTTTTCATATAATGTGTCTGTAGTTTTTATAACAATAATTTCCATGTAAACAATCTTAGTAGCAGGGATAAGAAAAATGGTGGGGGAAGGGTTGTTTTTACCAGAGAAAAAATACTTGTACTAATGGTCTGAATCCAAAATTACCTTGTCTACTCTGACATTTAAGCTGAAAACTTAAAATTTCATCAGTAGTGAAACATCTTTTGAAGCTGAAGGTATCTGAACACCTTGGAAATGCACAAACTCATTAACATGGAATGGCAGACATTCTCCAAGTATTAGCATCAAGGATGTGTTACTAACTCACTCAGGGCAGGCTTACAAATATTTTTGTTTGTTGTAACCATAAACTGACTTAAAATGTGGGCAGGTAGGTGTATAAATATTTTATTTTTCAAATTGCTTGGTGGTAAAAAAAAAATTTGGAAATACCACTAGTTCCATGATCACTTAAAACATAATGCATTAAAACATGAATACAATTACAGTGGAATTACAGAAATTTCAAATTCTTTCACAACGTACACTTGCTGGTCGATATTGACCTTTGATAGACAAAGTTAAATTCACTATTGCTGAAATTAATTATAAGATATTCTCCCCTGGTCGGTCATGTGTTTATTAGTTTAGTGTGAAGGGCCCTGGGAGGAGGTAAGTTGTTAAACCTCAATTCATTGGCCAATCAGCATCGAGCTGTTGATTGGAAATCAGATGGTGCCTTCCCACTTCATTGTGGATTACATGAATTTGTGAGAAAAAATATTCTAATTGTAATACAACTATAAAAATTTTTAAGTGGAAAAATTTTGTTAGGGGGGTCAGTATATTGTCTGAAATTGGGGAATATAAACATTTGTGAGGTCATAATGTCAAAAAAATCAATCATTTGGCCTTAATTTCAGATGGTCAGTTGGGTTACAGCAAACAGAAATATTTTTAAGCCTGGCCTCACCTATGAGCATCAATTAGAGTCGCATAAAATAATTGATTGATCAAAGTCACAATTATATAATAATAAAAAAAGTAACTGACTGGTAGCACCTGCTGCCAGTTAACTTTCTCAACACTGGCTTGGTCAGTTTGACCGTCCACATGACCTCTTTGTACTTGTTTAAAGTCTTTATAGATTTGATACTACTAACTTTTAATATAGTATTTATATCTTCGAAAAATTTGGCAGTCTTTCAGTAAACATTATAAGTCTTTCACATACGAAGTCATTTGTTTTAGTGGAGTATTTTAAATAAACTAAAAAAGATTTGTCTGTGAATATATCGAGTATTTGTTTTGAATGGTCCGTGTGCAAAGTGATTTTCGTGTTAAGATTAAAATACTTTTCTTCATCTCAAAAATATCTAAAACTTCCTAAATAGATTTCAAATGTTTGTTTCAGTAAAACTTTATATTTTATGTGTTATTTTCTCTACCCTAACTCTATGGGGTCTGTCAATTTGATCGGCCTCATAACCACCATAGAAAATAAGGAAATAAATTTAAATTATGCTCCTTTCGTTCTAGAATGACTGTAGATTGTAGCACAGAGCTTAAGTCTCATAACATTATACATTTATATATATTTATTATTTTTATTGTATTGACTTTTCAGCCATGCCTGGCTAACAATACAGGAGTCACAATGATGGAGTGAATATGCACTCTTGATACTGTATCCAGTAATATAAAACTGGCCTTTACAAAGTAACTTGTCTTGGCTATGTTTTAGTAGACTAGTATTTTGTAAAAGACAGTCATATTTCAAATATTATACATTATATATGTATATACATTTATACTATTTACAAATAGGTTCTTAAATTTATTTTTCTTAAAACATAGAACAGTAAATAAGTAAAGCAAACAATTATTTCTTCTAGTTATGACCTTTGTACTCATTTGGTGCTTGTTGTAAGTTGCTAACCCTATTAAACTTTTGCCCGTGGATGATATGAAACAAAATAATTTTTTTTAGGTTTTATATATATATACATTTGTAAATAACCAAAAAATACATAAGTTACTTTATTCAATA